CCATCCCCGCCTCTTCGACCTGTTTGTTTCCTCTCCACCTATCCTCTCCTCTATCCCTCTTCTATCCGCCTCCCACTCTCTCCCTATTTATTTCAAAACCCCCTTCCCCTCCCCCTTTTCTGATGAAGGGTCTAGGCCCGAAACGTCAGCCTCTCTGCTCCTATGATGCTGCTTGGCTTGCTGTGTTCATCCAGCTCTACACCTTGTTGTCTCTGATCACCGTATTCGTTTCTGGGGAAGGTGGGTCTTTTGCAAGTCTTATGGTTTGCTGAAGGTATTGCCGATTGTGTTGGTGGAGTTTAAAACTAATTTTTGCGGGGTGTCTGGGATACTACGTGAAGTTAAGGTGGGGCTGATATGCAGACAAGTACGGAAGAACCACTAAAGCAGTCCAGAAACCAGTGCAAATATGTTTAACTTACGGCAGAAGGGAGTGTGGCAAAGCTAGATGGCATTTTTTCATTGCAATGAGTCTTGTGAGTAAGACGGATAAGTAGATTAATGTATGGGGATATGATATCATTGCTATCACAGGGACAGTTGTGGTTGAGGGAAGAACAAAACTGTCAGCACGACGTTCTGGGACGCAGAACCTTCAGATGAGATGGGGGAGGTGGGTGAAGGTGCAAAAGAGGTGATATCGCAACATTGATCGAGCGGATAATTACTCCATAAGGGTGGATAACATGTTAGAAACAAGCACAAACAATGCTGCAGAAAGCAGTAGCTTTGGCGGAATCTGTAGAGAAATAAACGGAGTTAACTATTCAAGACCAGTACAACACTGTTTCAGAGCTGAAACATTGTAGGGAAATGGGGTTTTTAATACTTTTGACAGAGGCAGTGGAGGAACTAGGAGCCAGAAGACCTGTGCCAAAGGCAGGTGGCAGTGCTGGCAACGCAGGACAGCTCCTCTTGGCAATTGGTGGCCGTAATGGCTTTTGGTCCTTCCACCGTTATTTTTTCCGTGGGTATGTCGGTTGGGGCCAGGCCCCCATGCACTCCCAGATCCATGGCCAGCTCTGGCGCTGAGGTCACAGAGGCTTCAGCATTAGTGGCGGAGGTGGCCGGAGCCGGGACCCCGGCAACCAATGACTGGCGTTAGCATCCAGAGGAGTGTCGGAGGGTGACATGTGGTGGTTGTGGCAGTGTCAGTGACAGCGGGGACGGGCCCTGGAGCCTGTAGCTGAGATCCCAGTGCCTGTACCTGATACCCCAAAGCCCTTCACAGAGGCCCGGGAGCTCTTTACAGAGACCGTGGAGCCTGTTACAGAGACCCTGCCAACATCAAGCTGTGAACAGATGAGTAGCGAAGGCTAACAAGAAGAAGGAAAGATGAACTCTGCCAATCGAATCTTGCATCCGATTGAGTGTTTCACGATGACACCGGAGAATGGTGACACTTTGTGTTTTGCACACGAGTAAGCACTTTTCACAGTATTTTTATATACGGCTGATAATAAATCTAAATCTAATCTAAGCACGTAATCTAATGGTGGTGAAAGAGAAAAAGAGACACAAAATGGATGTAAAATAAGATGTAAAAGGGAGAGAATGTGTGATCTCTACTAAGAGCAAAGGAAACAAGACAACGATATGGGGGACGTGGCTAGGGGGAATATAAGAAAGCATAATGTGGGCAGTTTCTGAAGTTATGGAATTCAATATCGAAACCTTGCGGGTGTAAAGTGTTTAAGTAGAAAATGAGATGCTGTTCCTCAAGCTTAATTTAAGACCATAAGAATCCCCCAAAAGCTGGAGTAGGCAATTCATAGCCCCTTGAGCCTGCTCTGCCATTTAATATGATCATGGATGATCTCTTTTCGATCTCAACTCTATTTTCCTATTCGCTGTCCACCACCCATCAGTCAATTACTAATTAAAAATCCATCACATTCTGGTCTAGGCTGTTTCTGTGATATATTTTGAAGGGGTTTGGTTTTGATTTGATTTATTATTGTCACATGTACCTAGGTACAGTGAAAGGTTTTGTTTTGCGTGCAGTACAGGCAGATCATACCATACAAACTGTGTAAGGGGAATAGAACAGAACGCGGAATACAATGTTAAGGCTGCAGAGAAGGAGCACAAAAAGCAAGATCAGCATTAAAATTTGAAATCTGAGAAGTCTCTTCAGAAGTCTAATAACAGCTCTGTTCCATAACAAGGGGAACCCACTGCTTCATAAATCATCGAATTACAATATCAAAGCACCTAAATCAGAGCTAGAAAGTGAACCACGTTTAGCAAATAAAAATAAAACACTCAGCAACCTATCTTATTGCTCTGTGCGAGTAATCAAGCCTTTTATAAAAATTAAAACAGCAAAGTAGAAATTACATTTTATCAATATTCCTCCAAAAATGCTTGAAGGAATTCTGAGCACGCAGAAGTTTTCGATGGCTAAGCTGCAGTTCAGGAGTCAATCAATGACCTCCACAAAGGACTTACAGGTTGCTAACTCCAGCTTTGGACTTTCAGTCACAATTTTAGAAGCCAGTGCATAGATAAACCTGCATGCTTCTGTTAATTTGTACTAAGATTATTCAGTCAGAAATAACCACACACAACACACATACAAAATCAGCATCCACAAACAGACAAGGTGGGGATATAATCTCTGCTAAGTAAAATAAAAAGAAAAATGCAATCATAATGTACTTTCTGACAGGTGGTGAGAATAGAGAGTATGGTTTGTTTTGAAACTTATAATCTGTCCATAACAAGAAAAGAATAATCTTTACCTTGCACCACCTAACCTACCCACACCACAACCACTTTACAAACAGAATCCACAAGAGATATAATGGCAATAATTCAATGTCTTAGAAAATCTCAAGAATCTGTCAGAAAAAACAATACATCACTTGAATAGGCACATTGAAAACTGTACACCTTTTTAATAGATCATAAGTTAGCTAAAGTAATCAATCATCACTTAAATAAATGCCTAAAGACAATTAATATGTTCAAAATTTCATACATATGGCAAATCCATCAAATGCGCTCTCCTATTGCAACAGACAAAAAAAAACAAACATTGCACTTCCAAATCAATTAGTGCTTGTGAGACAGCCAAAAGGTCTTGCATCTCGCAAAGCTTCCAAACAGCCAAACAGGTGGATGAGCTGAGTAGTAAATAATGTATGAAAGCAATATGATTGTTTATATGATTAGCTCTGGATCTCACATTTGCTAGACCTATATAATCATACAAAGCAGAATATTGTTTTGTCGCATCAATAACCTACTCCAAAAAAGATGAAGATTTTTTTGACTATTAAAATGCTGCTCTTTTCTTAGTGACTTGATAGTTGTCAGAGGTAACAGCATAGGAACCAGATTATTTGATGGTTATTTACCCTTTCCAACCATTGAAGTATTCCCCCTCTCTTTCTTTAGTAAGCAGTTATAATTCAGCCTATAATATTTCATGATGGAATGCTAAGAAAGCAACACAAATTTATTACCTTTATAATCTTCCTACTCCCAACATTTGGTTCATGTCTCCACTTGGAGGTGTGACTTTGGGTGGCTTTGAAATTTCAGTCACCTCCATGAAATTTCCAAAATTTCTTAATGCCCACTTCTCCAGTGGTGCCACCTACGTCTCAGGAGGGATTTGTGAGGTTCATTATATTTTTGGATCTCCTCTAATGCCTGGTGATGCAAATGGAAGAGGGATTTCCAGATCAATAGAGAGGCAATCATGTTTTTTCTCAACCCTAAGTATGTTTCACCTTGTGTAGAGATTACAAAACTCCAGCAACATTTTCAAAAATAATTAAAATTTCAATATGTAAAATGAACTTGAGCAGCAGTGAATAATAAATATCTTTATGAAATGGGAGAAGACCATTTCATTTTTGTATGTAAATAAGATTATTATAAATATTAAATATAAATGAGATTATATAAAATAGTTTTACTTTCATAGATCATAGAATCCCTACAGTGTGGAAACAGGCCATTTGGCTCAACAAGTCCACATCACTCCTCTGAAGAACATAACAAGGTGTAGAGCTGGATGAACACAGCGGGCCAGGCAGCATCAGAGGAGCAGGAAGGCTGACGTTTCAGGCCTAGACCCTTCTTCAGAAATGGGGGAGGGGAAGGGGGCTCTGAAATAAATGGGGGAGGGCGGTGATAGCAGGTACATAGTGGAGCGGATAGGTGCGAGAGAAGACAGACAGGTCAAGAAGGCGGGGATGGAGCCGGTAAAGGTGAGTGTAGGTAGGGAGTTGGGATGGGGGTTGGTCAGTGAGGAGGGAGGGGTGGATAGAATAGTTCATTGATGTCCAAAAATGGACCAGAGCGAATTGCCTTTATCTGGGTTCTCACAGAATGACAATCAGCCAGAATCTCCAGAGTACCCGGTGAGTATTTCAACAAAACAAAACGGTAAAAAACCCATGTTAGACAACGAGAGATACTGTTGATTTGTAGATTTTAGTTGTTGTGAATCGTAGACTCTCTGTGGACTTCTGGCTGTTTCTAACCTGCCAAACAGTGCTGCCTAATAGAGAACAACACACCTTTCCTGTAGTTGTGAGGAGTGGTGACTGTACATTTCACTTGAGGTCTAGTCTGAGAAAGACTGTTTTCTGAGCCTGCCATTTCCATTGTTTTCTCCCAGGATATCATCAATGAACATGGTGCCATGGGTGATGAGAATGTGGAGCGGGGTAACTGGTCTTCGAAGACTGACTACTTGCTCTCAATAGTTGGTAATGCAGTGGGTTTTGGCAACATCTGGAGATTCCCTTACCTAGCTTACAGAAATGGAGGAGGTACCGTCAACAAATTTATTATATCGGAGAGTGAGAACGGCAGAATTAAATGGATCAATTCATTGATTTATACAGAATATTGAAGCTCAGGCAATAGTAAATATTTATTGAACTAAAAATAATAACGGTAGATAATGAAGGATTAAACAATCCTGGTGTGAAATGGTGAATTCAAGTTAACGAGTTTGTAAATTACTTTATTATGAAGTGGGAAACGTGCCAAGGTAACAGGTTAGAATTAACAATATGATACATAAAATAGATGCAATTTATTAACCAAAGTAAATGGTTAAATTATTAATTCAGAATATATTTTCAAGTGATGTTGTTTAGAACACATGAGCCATCAAGAGCAAATATATTTCCTGCGCAGCGTGTGGAAACCCCAGAATAGCAGTCTCTTCAGTCAGGCTCTGGGTTCAGATTTGTATGTTATCATCAAACCTGCTTACATCAGGTCCTCATTACAACCCACACAACTGGATTGATGGTAACCATGGACAAATGTGTAAAAAATGTCATAACAGGATTGTGTAAAGTGACAGGGAAAAATATTTGATTACATTAGAGAGTGAAATTCACAAAGTAGGAATTTGGGCATTCATAGAGATTTCAGGATTAATTTTAATCCAGGCCGCACAGTGTAAACGTGGAGTTTCAGCTTGAACATGTAGTTTGTCCACATTGAAATCCTTTCCACTATTTTCCAGGTCCGTTCCTTATTCCCTACTCTCTCATGCTGGCTCTTGTTGGGATACCATTGTTTTTCTTGGAATCTTCCTTTGGGCAGTTTGCCAGCCTTGGGCCTGTTGCAGTGTGGAAAGCCGTGCCAATGTTACAAGGTGAATGTTAATTTTATCAAAACAGGTACAGCAAACTTTTTAAAAAAGGGATAGAGTTGACTTAATAAAAATATTACACTTTCCTTATCTGTCAGAGGTTTGAGCTAAACTTGCCAACGTAGTGTCTGTAGTCTGGTCTGCCATGCCCAATATTAGGTGTTGCATATGTTGCATATTGGCTTTTTGACATATTGTTTGTGAGTATTTTTTTAAAATGATAAATTGAAGCCAGGTATCTGGGGCCCAGCACAACAGAGCATCCTCACAGGTAAGTTCTTTGGTCGGTATTAGCTACTAATTTGTCTATCTATTATGGGCGACTTTCAGATTGCAGGTAAATAAGGGAAATATTTATAGGTTACAAACTGAAAGATCAGTAAGAATTTTTTGAAAACAATCTAATTTATAACCAAGTAAGTAAAGTAGACAGATAGTAAGAACGGCTAATGCTGGAGTCAGAGATAACAAGGTGTGGAGCTGGAGGAACACAGCAGGCCAGGCAGCACCAGAGGAGCAGGAAAGTTGACGTTTTGGGTCAGAAAATGAAGAAGGATCCCGACCCGAAACGTCAACTTTCCTACTCCTCTGATGCTGCCTGGCCTGCTGTGTTCCTCCAGTTCTGCACAGTGTTATCTGAGAAGAGATGCAGGGACAAGCAATATATTGTACCTGCATGATGTGAGATCTGATGGACCCCATTGTGGTGCAGCTTAACCACATCTGTGGTAAGTGTTGGTTGCTCCACTGTATTACCTGTCCTACATTGTGTGTGGCTGCCTAGGTGTGCATAGACCCTCAGTACACCAATGCCAAGTGTCACTATGTACTGAAGTTCTACCTGAACCTGGTGCAGTGAAGGATCGGATTGGCCATGTTGCTATGGAATGCTCCAAGTAGTCGGACTGTTCCGTATCACCTGTCGATCATGGAGAAATTTGCAAAGCAAAACACTCGTGACCACAAGCCAACCAGGAAGTGCTCGGCATAGGGTCCTCGAGATTGCCAGAACTTTCCGACAAGCACCAGAACATCGCTTGGCTGATGGTGAGAAGGGCACGACCTGCGAGATCATTCATGTACGCCCGGTTGGTCTGTGCCACAGCACACTGCCCTCGAAGCAGCTATTGTGGGGGGGAGTAGAGAATGTCACACATCTCCCTCTGGAATGTGCCTTTGCAAAGGAATTCTGGAGAGAGATGCACCGCATGCTCCACTACCCCTCCTCCATTGCTTTGCTGCTGCCTGCGCTTGACCCACTATTGTAAGAGTTGCCACTCTTTAGTCACCATCTCTCCATTGCAGGGCCCACTTCACAGATGCCAAGTCCCGTACTGAACTCTCAATCACCCTGCAACCAGGAGTTCCTGGCTCGCTGCCGCTACCTCGCTAACAACCAGGATTCCAAACTCTGGGGCTACCGTGATCACGGCCAGGAGCCCCTGGCTCCACTGCTGCCTCAATGACTCCAGGAATCCCTTGCACTGGGCATACGACGCTGCCTCTGCTGCAGCTACCACCTCACTAACACCAGGGGATCACCACTCAGGGCCTACTGTAACCAGGGGACCCTGGCTCCACTGCCAGGCCAAGATTCCCGGCCCAGCTGCCCTCCCCTGATACATCGCCTTGCTTGCGTCACCATCTGGAAGAGTCCACTGCCCCCCCCCCCCGAACCCCAATTGCTGGAGGAGCTTTGCTGCAGCCTCCAATTGCCGGAAGGCTACCACCAGTCCCCGCACGTTCCACTCTTACTGTCGGGCCGCCAACTAACACGCCAAAGAAAAGCAAAACAAAAGAAAAGGAATGAAAGAGAAAGAGCAGAAGTAAAAAGAATTTTTTAAAAAAAAGCAGATGGTAGCGGATGATCCCCAAGCGAGAGCCCACACACAGCCCTGCTGTCCTGCCACCATCTTGGAAAACTGAGGAACCGCAAGAGAGAAAAAAACAACCCTGATGGGTTATGTACAGGCCTCGTAGCAGTAGTCAGGATGCAGGACAGAAAATAAATCAGGAGATAGAAAAGGCATTTAAAACAATGCACTATTACAATAATCATGTGGAGCTTCAATGTGCAAGTGAACCAAGAAAATCAGCTTGGCAGCGGATCCCAAGAAAAGGAATTTGTGGAATATCTATGAGATGTTTTTACTTTGGACCGGTTTGTGTTAGAGCCCATGAGGGAACAGGCGATTCTGGATTTGGTGAAGGTGAAGCTGGAGCTGAAGGTGAAGAATCCCTCGGGGGCAGTTACCATAGTATGATGGAATTCACCCTGCAGTTTGAGAGGGAGAAGCTGAAATCGGGTGTAAGGGTTTTACAAATGAGTAAATGTAACTGTAAAAACATGACAGAGGAACCGACCAGAGCTGGTTGGAAGGAGACCCTATTAGGGAAGATAGTGGAGCAGCAACGGTAGGAGTTTATGGGGGTAACTCGGGAGGCACAGCAGAAATTCATACCGAGGAAGAAGAAAAATACTACTAAGGGGAAGGTGAGGTAATCATGGCTGACAAGGGAAGTCAGGGACAGCATTAACTCGGAAGGGAAAGCGTAAAATGTGGTGAAGATTGGGGGAAGCCAGAAAATTTGGAAGGTTTTAAAAGTCAGCATAGGATAACTACAAAACCAATAAGGATGAAAATGATAAAATACGAGGGTAAGCTAACAAGTAATATAAAGGAAGATTCCAAGAGTTGTTTTAGACATATAAAAGGGAAGAGAGAGGCAAGAGTGGACATTGGGCCCCTTGAAAAGGCTGGGAGGGTAGTATTTGGGAGTACAGAAATAATGGAGGAACTGAATAGGTACTTTGCATCAGTCTTCACTGGTGGAAGACACCATTGGCATGCCAGAAGGGTCAGGGAGCAGAAATGAGTGCAGTGATCATCACTAAGGAGACAGTGCTGGGGAAGCTGGAGGGTCTGTAGGCGGATTATCTAGCCAGACCAGATGGACTATCCCAACCCCACCCCCCCGCCCCGAGTTCAGAAGGAGGTAGAGAAGGAGATTGTAAAGACATTGGTGGTGAACTTTAAGGAATCACTAGAGTCAGGGAGAGTGCCAGAGGACTGGAAAATGACTAATGTACCAGCCCTGTTTGAGAAGGGAGGGAGGCAGAAGACAGGATAACTATTGTCTGGTTAGCCTGACCTCAGTTATTTAAAAGATATTACGGTCTATTAATAAGGATGAGATTGCGGAGGACTTGGAAGTACATGGTAAAATAGGGCTGAGTCAGCACGGCCTTTTCAAGCAGAGATCATGTCTGATAAACCTGTTTGAATTCTTTGAGATAGTAATGAGAAAGTTAGACAAAGGAGAGCCAGTGAACGTGATCTACTTGAAATTCCAGAAGGCCTTTGACAAGGTGCTACACAGGAGACTGCTAAATAAGATAGGAACCCATGGTGTTGGGGGCAAGGTACTCACATGGATAGAGGGTTGGCTGACTGGCAGAAGGCAGAGATTAGGGATAAAGGAGTCTTTTTCAGGATGGCAGCCTGTGACTAGTCAGTGTTAGGACCACAACTCTTCACATCACACATTAACAATCTGGACAAAGTAACTGAGGGCATCGTTGCTAATTTAGCAGATGACACAAAGATAGGCAGAGGGACAGGTACGGCTGAGGAGTGGGGAGGTGGCAGAAAGACTTTTAGAGGCTAGAAGAGTGGGCAAAAAAGTGGCAAATGGAATACAATGTGAGAAAATTTGAGGTTATGCACATTGGTAAGAACAATAGAGGCATTGACTATTTTCAAAACAGGGAAAGGCTTTGGAAATCTGAAGCATAAAGGGACTTAGGAGTCCTAGTTCAGGATTCCCTTATGGTTAACATGTAGGTTCAGTTGGCAATTAGGAGGGCGAATTCAATATTAGCATTCATTTCAAGAGAGCTAGAATATAAGAGCAGAGATTTACTGCTGAGGCTGTATAAGGCTCTGATCAGATGGCATTTGGAATATCATGAACAGTTTTGGACCCCATATCTGAGAAAGGATGTGCTGGCCTTGGAGGGGTTCAGAGGAGGTTTACAAGAATGATCCCGGGGATGAAGGGCTTGTCATATGATGAACAGTTGAGGATTCTGGGTCTGTACTTGATGGCATTTAGAAGGATGAGGGGGATCTCATTGAAAATGAAAAGCCTGGATTGAGTGGACCTGGAGAAGATGTTTCCACTTGTAGGAGAGACTAGGACAGGAGGGCACAGCCTCAAGGTGAAGGGACAACCCATTGGAACTGAGACAAGGAGGAATTTCTTCAAGCAGAGGGGGTGACTCTGTGATGCAATGGGTTGTGAACCAAATCATTGAGTGTATTTAAAAAGAGATAGAATTCTTCTTGATTAGTAAAGGGATCAAGGGTTACGGGGAGAATGCAAGAGAATGAGGTTGAGAAACATTTTAGCCATGACCGAATGGTAGAGCAGACCCAATAGGCCAAATTCTGCTCCTATACCTTACGACCTTGTGGCCTAAGACTGGGAATGTGTGATTATCACCAGCCACAATGATGATGTCCTAAAGAGTTAGTGATAAGGAGTCTAAAGGTAAAGACATGGAACATCATTCTTGCAACCTAGACATAGTATTATGACATAATCGACATTTCCTGTTTAATACAAGAAGTCTTTGAAATCCCACCTGTTGAACACAGAATGTTGAAGCAGCCAATAACCTACCAAACACAGCAGATATTTCCCCAAAGGTGTGGCCATCCAGGACAGTAACCCTGGTCTGTACTGTGTCCGCTCAAAGGAAAACATAATTTGGTTGAATGACCAGCCAAATCTATGTCAAATACTTTATTTCAAATCGAAGTTCACAGTCCAGACTCCTGTTCTTTCTTCTGTTTTCAGGTGTGGGGATTACTATGATTTTTCTGATCACAATTTCCAATATTTCATACAACTGCATCCTCGCCTACAGTCTGTACTACCTGTTTGCTTCCTTCCAATCACCCCTGCCGTGGGCAGACTGCTTCAGTTGGTGGGGAGCAGATGAAACATGCAGCAGGACTCCCAAAGGTACAGTACTCACTTCTATTGGGGAAAGTGTTGACACCGACTGTTCACTGTGCATTCTGTCAGTCCGATCAAGGGAGAAAAATGGACAATAGTTTCAGTGACCATCCTCATTGTGACCGTACAGCAAAAAAACCATACAGCAGCAGGGATCATGGCACTAGGTCACTGGGATTTCAGAACAGTCAATCAAAAATAAGTATTGAAACATCAGAATTTATCGAAGAAAATTGTCAATATTTCGTAGCGTCGTATATTTGTCTAATTTCTTTCACCTTTTCAGTAACTCTTTCTTGTGTTCTTTTTGACTGTGTTCATTGTTTGTATCTCTCTACATCCCAGTATTTTGACTCACGTTGATTCCCTTCTCTATCCCTGTGTTTTGAGCAGGTATCATTTTCTCAAATTTTTCTCTTCCTCTGTGTTTTTCCAAATATCTACCACTTCATATACATACAGTCTGAGAAACACTCCATTTTTGTTGCATTTATTTAAAAGCCTTGTCTCTTTCAGTTTCATCTCACCTCCCACATTAACACTGTTTAACTCGTGATTTCTAATGTTGTTATCAAAGATTACTTCTGTTTGAATTGACAAGAGTAAGTTTGAAATCTTGAGGTAAGTCAATTTGAAATTTCCGAAGCAAAGGACAAAATGCTTCAGCTTTGAAACAAAATCTCCTTTTGTACAGATTGGAACAGTGGGTGATCCCTGACAGGATTGTACAGACTGGGACTGTGGGTAGTCTCTGACCTTATTGTACAGATTGGGGTTGTCTCTGACCTTATTGTACAGACTGGGACAGCATCCACAGTCCCAACCTGTACATTATGGTCAGACATCACCCTTATGCTCACTTTTTGCATTGAAGAACTTCATAACGTTATTCCAAAAAATAAATTTCTCAAAATTTTAGAAAATGTCCATAATCCAATATTCCACAAGAACAGAAATCGATTTTCCTCTATCTCATGACCTTTTTGTCCTGTTTAGTATTTCAAAAGCCGTGACTAAGCCATCTCTTTAGCTTTGAAATTACAGAGAATAGAATCATTGTATGTCTGATATCATACGATTAGGGACATACAGCAACATCCAAAAGACATGGGTTTCCCATTATGACCCATCAGAATTCAGTGATAGAACTCCTTATCTACACAGGTTAGGACTAGCAAGAGTAGGGATCTATTTCTATATCAACTACATCAGAATTTGGAACATTAAATCTGTGCCAAAAATTACTTAGATACTAAGGAGATATTTTTCATTAGATCCCTACAACGTGGAAACAGGCCATTCGACCCAAAAAAGTCCACGGCGACCTTCCAAAGAGCATCCCACCCAGACCCACTCCATCCCTGCACCTCCCAAGGTCAACCTACCTAACCTGCACATCTTTGGACTGTGGGAGGAAACTGGAGCACCCGGAGGAAACCCATGCAGACACGGGGAGGACGTGCAAACTCCACACAGACAGTCGCCCAAAGTTGGAATCAAACCCGGGTTCCTAGTGCTGTGAGGCAGCAGTGCTAACCACTGAGCCACAAAATCAGAAGTTGCTGAAAAAGCTCAGCAGGTCTGGCAGCATCTGTGTAGAAAAATCAGAGTTAATGTTTTGGGGCCGGTGACCCTTCATCGGAACAGGATCCACCGTGCCATCCAACTAAAATTGAGATGAATTTTTTTTAAAGACAATTGTGTCACCTTATCCTTGATATTTGTGTTATTTAAAGTTTCTTTTTTACATTGCTAGTTTCTGAAAGTGACTTGATAGAAGCATGTTTAACAAAGTGGTACATCTGGACTCAGAGTGATTGTGTATGTCGATAAGCTCGTAAGACATAGGAGCAGAATTAGGCCACTTGGCCCATTGCGTCTGCTCTACTATCTGATCATGGCTGGTATATTTCTGAACCTCATTCATCTGCCTTCTCCTCAATGACCCTTGATCCCCTGAACAATCAAGAACTATTCGATCTTTGTCTTAAATTCCGATGAGAGGTGGCGACGGAGTAACAGGGCTGCGAGCGAGGTTTTGCCTGGAGCACATCTGCTCCCAGCTGCATTCCTCCTTTATTTTACTTCACTTCTGCTGTTTTCTTTTGTTTTATTTTCCTCTTCTCTTGTTTTTTTTTTAACTTTTTCTGTGGCGGGTTGGTCGCCAGCACTGGCATGGCAGCGAGAGCGGGCCGTATTGTGGAGTGGCAGATGCGGACTCCCCCCCCCCCGACAATCGGAGGTGGTGTCAGAGAGGATGTTCTCCCAGTGATCGAGGCAGCGAGACAGCGTTCTCTAGCCATTCGGGGCCTAAGGCAACGGCAGCGAGCACGGCCTGGCATGGCAGTGGGGCCGGGGTACTCTTGGTTGTGGGGCGAGTGTGGGTTCAGTGGCATTAGCAAAGTGGGTCCAACGGCGAAGAGATGGTGCCCCCTAAAGTGGGCGACTCCTATGTTGGTGGGTCCGGTGGGTCCAGTGCATTTGGCTGCAGTGTTTTGGATGTCTCCCTTGAGGCTGGGTGCCAGCGTGGATTATGTCAAAAAGACTGATATTCTGAACATTTTACTTCTGTATTTTTCTAATTTATTCCTATGACCTATAATGCCAGACTATTTATTTCTTTACTTTTCTATTATTTTTTTGTTTCCTAAGAATTTGATCTTGAGTATCCATACCCAGGTACTTTTGTACCTATCATGGCACTGTAGTGCAGCAACTATGTACTCTTTCACTGTACTAATTTGAGTACATCTGGCAATAAAGCTAATTCAGTCAATGAATGTCTCCACAGCACTCTGCAGCAATGAGTTCCACAGTTTCATCACCCTCTGGCTGAAGAGCGTCCTCCTCATCTCAGCTCTAAATGGTTGTGTCTGAACTCTGAGAGCCTGGTCCCTCCTTCTCATGGAAACAACTTCTTCCCATCTACTCTATACAGGCCCGTCAGTATTCTGTAAATTTCAATGGGATACACGCTCATCCTTTTAGATCCCATCAAGTACAGACCCAAACATGTGAGAAGTCCTTTATCCCCAGGATCATTCTTGTAAATCTCCTTTGGATCCCTTTTAATGCTAGCACATCCCTCCTTAGATACAGGGCCCAAAAAGCCTCACAATATTCAAAATGCAGTCTGACCAGTGCCTTATGCATCCTCTACAGTATATCTCTGCTCTTGTATTCTGGCCTTCATGAGATGAATGCAAATATTGTATTTGCCTTCCTAACTACCAGCTGAACTTGCATGTTTACCTTCAGAGAATCCTGGACCAGGATTCCCAAGTCCATTCATGCTTCAGATTTCTGAAACTTTTGCTCTACCAAAGTGCATAACCCCACACTTTGCCACATTGTATTCCATCTGTCACTTCTTTGACCACTCTCCTAGCCTCTCTAAGTCCTTTGGCAGCCTCTCTGCTTCCTGAACTCTACCTGTCCCTCCACTTACCTTGGGTCATCTGCAAACTTAGCAACAATGACCTCACCTTCTTTATCCAGATCATTAACGTATGACAGTGAATAGTTGTGCTCCCAAGACTGTTTCCTCTGAACTCCACTAGTCACTGGCTGCCATCGTCAAAAAACCTCTTAGTTTCCACTCTCTGCCTTCTGCCAGATAGCCAATCCTCTATCCGTACCAGTACCATGCCCCTAATGCCACGGACTCATCTTATTTAGCAGCATCTTGAGTCAGTCACCAATCAATTGAAAGGGTTTTGAAATTAAACACATCATGAACTAAATGTAAGTGCTTTTTTTTTGCGTGACCAAAGCAGGAGAAGGAAATCTTCTTTATTAAATCTTCCACCTCACTAAGAAAGCTTAATTACAATCAATAATTAACAATCTGCTCTGAAGACCCCTGCTTATGGATTCACAGTTGTGATAAATTGCACCATAGCAGCTAAGATAAGCCATCATGTTCAAAAACACCCCATTATATTCAAATGGAAAAATTCACATGTTCGTATCTCCCAGTTTTAACAAATGGATCCTTAAAATGATTCAAAATGATCTAGGTTCACATCCTTGCCAAAAATTAACCAATTCTTCTTTCAGCTGTAACCTGTCTGTGAATCATGCTTTGTTGCAATCCATACATTAGACTTTGAGATATATTGCTTCCAGACAAAGCGGTGAACAGAGTGAAAACATTAACTCTTGTCTTCAGTGGCGGAGCTAACTTGAGTAAGAAATAATACGATATTAAATGCAGTTAAGCTGGTAAAATCATAGATGACCCAGAACACAACTGGATGCACTCTAAAGCTAGTGTGAGAGAATTTAAAGCAGGGGTAAAAAAAACATAATGTAGTTATAACAAGGGACTTTCATTAGCTAATTATTTGCTGTCATTAGAAATGTCTACAGATAGCGAAGGAGAAGGTTTCTGAAGTCTGTTCCGGAGTATTTTTGACATCATAATGTCTTAAATCCTACAAGAAAGGCAACATTGCTGGGTCCAGTTCTGGGGAATGAGCGGGATTAATTGGGTCAAGTATCAGTTGGGGAATGATTAGGGACAGTGAGCATAGTATCATTAGGTTTAGGTTAGCTGCAAAAAAGAACCTGAAGCAATCCAGAATAAACGCGACCAAGTGGAAGAGAGCCAATTTCAATACGGTGAGAGTGGGTCTGGCCCAGAGAAACTGGAGATGAAGATTGACAGGCAAAAATGTTAGTGGACAATAGGGTGCCTCAAAAGAGGAGACAGTTTGAGGTGAGTCAAGATATCTTGAGGGAAAGGTTGGACACACAAAGATGGAGCTCTCTGGAGGAAAAATACAGATAGTGTAATGTCAAATAGATAATGACTGTATTTGATAAATGTTAGTTTGATTATCGCCCAAGAAACAGGATAAATATTGCAATTTTAGGAAGCAGAGTAGCAAAGAGAGGGTATGAGATTGACAGCTAACATAAAAGAAACCAAACCTCTTCTATAAGCATATAGATACTAAATATGTAGCAAAATGGGAAAGTTTACTCACTCATGGGATGTGGGTGTTGCAGGCTGGTCCACATTTTTTGCACGCCCCTAGTTGCCCTTGAGAAGGTGGTAGTGAGCTGCCTTCTTGAAGTACATGCTATGAGTTGACCCACAATGCCCTTAGGGAGAGAATTTCAGAATTTTGACCCAGTGACAGTGAAGGAGCTGCGATACGTTTTCAAGTCAGGATGGTGATTGGCTTGAAGGGGAACTTGAAGGTGGTGGTGTTCCCATATATCTGCTGCCCTTGCCCTTTCAGATGGAAGTGGTTATGGGCTTGGAAGGTGCTGTCTAAGGGTCTTTGGTGAATTTCTGTAGTGTATCTTATAGATAATACACACTACTGCTACTGAGCGTCGATGGTGGAGGGAGTGGAATCTTATAGAAATGTTGCCAATCAAATGGGTTACTTTGTCCTGGATGGTGTCAAGCTTCTTGAGTGTTGTTGGAGCTGCACCTATCTAGGCAAGTGGAGAGTATTCCATCACACTCCTGACTTGTGCCTTGTAGATGGTGAACAGGCTTTGCAGAGTCAGGAGATTAGTTACTCGCCCCTGTATTCCAAGCCTCTGACCTGCTCTTGTAGCCACTGTGTTTATCAGTCCAATTGAGTTTCTGATCAATGATAACCCCCAGCATGTTGATAGTGAGGTATTTGCTGATGGTAATACCATTGTGTGTCAAAGGCAGTGGTTAGATTGTCTCTTACTGGAGATGGCCATTGCCAGGCATTTGTGTGGTACGAATGTTACTTACCACTTATCAACCCAAAGCTGGATATTGTCCAGATCTTGTTGCAGTTGAACATGAACTGCTTCAGTATCTAAGAGGCGCAAATGGTGCTGAACATTCTGCAATTATCAGCGAACATCCTCATTTCTGACCTTATGATGGAGTATAGGTCATTGATGAAGCAGCTTAAGGTAATGGGGTCATAGATCCTACCCTGAGGAATAGAAAAGGGAATGGTCACAGGCAGGAGGAGAACAGGCTGACGCATTAAAAGCAAATTTTATACCTTTCTTTCAGAGGAAGGTGTTGTCCAAATCAAAGTGGAAGTGGAGGTAGTTAAGACATTAAGTGGGCTAAAAGTTGATGAAGAGAAAAGTTGGCAGTACTAAAGTTTGAAAAGTCCCTGTAATTGGATCGGATGAAATTGATGATACTGAAGGCAATATGGGTGGAAATTTTGGAGCAACTCCTGGCCGCGACTTTCCAATTCACCTTAGATACAGGGATGATGCCAGAGACTGGAAATATGCAAATGCTACAGACGTGCATGGTGTGGATGGACAAGCCTTGTCCAGAGGTCTGGCTGAGGGTGTTTGAGCATTGTGGAAGTGAGGTGCTTGATGAGTACTGTCAGGGATGTGGTGAGCAGTATTGGATGGGTTGGTAAACTGGGTCAAGTGGATGAATGAGGTAGAGCGCAGTGTTGCAGGGTGTGTGTGGGAGGGATAGTTGTGAGTGGAGGGCTTTAGTGAGCCTTGTCAGTTTGCCATCGTACTGGAATGCCTTAACACTATAGCTAATTTATATTGGAGACTTTGCACCAGATTGGAACAGTTTTCTGGAAGTAAAATCCACAGTAAGTATAGGATCAACAGCCCAAGTCCAAGAGGATATGGCCATCTCGATTTCCTGTTGTTAGGAATCATGGAACAGTCCAGCTAGTGTGCAGCTAGCAATTGGAAAGGTAAATTTCTTGTGTAAGTGCCAACCATGTGTGCCCATTGAGACTTCCACAGGTTTCCAATGGGCAACAGTAGCTTCTGTTGAAGTGCTCACTGGTCCCCACTCTGAAAAGTTCAGGCTGTGCTAAACTGTGACTTCAAAAGGCAGGTGGAATGTGTGCAGAGGTGTCAGATATAATTTAAAGCAGATCAGTGTAGAGAGATATAGTTTGATTGAAAGAATAAAGAAAGGCTCTAGAAACTAAAAGATACAGTGTGCTATGTGGGGTGTAGAAGCAGAGAGAGCTGGGGGGGATGGATGTTACATGCGCATTCATTGTTAAAGGTGGCAGGTCAGTTTGAGAAGCTAATTTAGAAGGTGACAGGGTCCAAGGCTTTAAAAATCATCGTTTTGAGTTCAAAGCTAGGGAGGTTTGCAATAATTGTAATAAGGCCAGCCAGCTGTACATCATAGAATATGAGTCCCCTGATGGGGGAGGTTAAGCTGCTCCAATCAGGGAGCTCTGGCTGACATAATAGGATGACTATCAGGGATATTGTGGCCTGGAACGCCAGGCTCAGTCAGAGGCAGTACTAATGTCAAAGGCTATGCATTTGTAAATTAAAATATAGTGATTTTGAGTTCAAAGACAAGGAGGTTATGGTGAGCTATTTTTAAACACTGCCTCAGTTTCAGCTGGATTATTGTGTCCAGTCCTGGGCACTGCACTGCACGGGAAGTGAAGTGACTGGAGAGGGTTCAGAAAAGGCTGATGAGAATGGTTTCAGGGATTGAGGTTCAGGCACCTGGATAGATTGATGAAGCTGTGACAGTTCTCCTTCGAGATGTAAGAGCCAAGAGGAGATTTGGCAGAGCTGCTCAAAATCATGAGGGGTCTGGACAGAGCAGACAGACAGAAACCGTTCCAGTCGGTGGAAGACTCTAGAACCAGAGTCAAGATTTAAACTGATTGGCAACATACCCAAAGATGACATGATCGATGAAATTATGTCAAATAGTTACTCAGCAAATGTTACATTATTAAATACATGGTCTAATGTCTGAGCAACTGATGAAACATACCATATACTTATACTTACCCCACATAATCCAATTCCATATCTCTCCCAAACCCCTTACAGTGCCCAGACCCTGACCCTCACTTCACCTAGAGATGTGACATCACTCTCAGCTCGCTGCCAGTGTCAAACCTGACCCCAACCTCCCGCTCACTGTTAGTGTTGGACCTTCTCCTCCCCAGTCCCGTCCCTTTTCCCCAAGTTGTTGCTGCCGGAACTGACCCCCAACCCCTGACCCACTTCCCCAGCTGCCACCTCCCACCAGACCTGACACCCACTGTTCCTGATCCCTTCCCCCCAGAAATTCTCCCATCAACCCCAGCCTACCCGAAACACTGCATTATTTAGCAGGCTCCACTGTTATCCAGCAGCATGGCATCTTACCCACTTGGCATCCTGTCCATCTGGCAACCTGGCACCCTATTCCTACCCATATGGCACCTTACATAGCTGTCCCCTCTTGCATATTTTCACTCTACCCACATGTACCCTGTTTTGCTGGCACCCAACTCCTATCAGTCTAGCACCTTACCCTCCCCACACCCTAACACACATTTACATTATGCGCTTACTGTTTGACAGCAACTTTTAAAGTGTCAGGAACCTTAAAATGTCAGGAGACAGCAGCTGAAGTATAGAGAGATATATTTTTATTGAAAGAATGAGGAAAGGCTGCAGAAACTAAAAGAAACAGTGTGCTAAGTGGCGTATAGAAGCAGACAGAGATGGGGGTTACATGTGCAATGAGGAGCTCTAGTCATTTATTAAATAAAGCAGTGGTGTAGCAAGGTGTGTGAGATTCCCATTCCCTGGAAAAGCCAGCCCATTATAATCCCTAAAGTATTCTGCAATAACTACTCATGAATATTTTATTAACTTTTTATACTGTAGCTTTTTAATTTGGTTTTATGATTACTCATATGACAGACCTTTGTCAAATAGGGGAATGAGCAGATTAAGTGCCAGAGCTGGTCTGTGCTGAGGGTGAGTGAACGGATTGTACCTCTGTGTTCTGATCTCTCTATAACCTTACCCATAGAATCAAAATGATTAACTGATTCAGTCAGAGTGAAACAGTGACCCTAGTTATTGTTGAAATAGAATGCAGTATTGAAATATAATACTGAAACACATTCCACATTTTTCAGATCCACTGTGCAATCTCAGTCTGGATGATGGATATTTTGAAATTGTTAACACAACATGGCTGCAGGCAAACAATGAAACTTGTCCGAATGGATCAGAAATCTTTGTTCCTCAACAGAGCCCAAGTGAGCAATACTGGGAGTAAGTACATTGCTGCAGGGAGCTGTACCTATAACCTGCACAGCTGGGCCAGTAACTCCTCTTGGGAAAATTAGTTGGAGAACATGTGTTTAATGAGAGAAAAATTTTTTAATTTTAAGGTACTATTTGCTTCATTCACTTATTACATAACAGCATCATGGGCGGGAAGCCTTTACTGTTTAACATCCCTCCGATCTCTAAACACTGTAGTTTTACTTTGACAATATTGATGCAGCAATTTGTTTTTATTTTCTTGCTCTTCAATGAAAATATTCACTACCAGAATTCCTAAACATTAAATGGTTGAAATTGTCTGTGACTGATGTCCCTTTTTCTTAATTTAATTGTAATAACCTGGGAACTGTGTTTAGATTAACTGCCTGAAAGCTGATACCATGTTGAACAATATGAAGGAGCTCAGGTTATTTGGAGACATAGTGCTTAATACAGATAATTTTAACAGCGCAATGTGAAGCAGTTAGTGAAGCACTGTCAAAAACTTCTTCACATCAAACCAGCTCTGCAGGCAATCTCATCGCTAATTTAAACATAGCTTAACATGAAAACCATCAATAGACATAGGAAAATAAGTCATGTAGAATATCGAACTTCAAATTTAAATATTGAGTGCAATAATCAAAACTTGTATGAAACAAAAATTAATTTAGATCTTATACAACTATGTACGTTTGACAAATGTGTTGATGCATTCTGTCTAAAAGTGTCTGTGTTTCGTGAAGAGTGTCCTTACATAATACATTCCTTCTTCTTATTTCCTTCAGTAAAGTAGTTTTACGCCGTTCCAGTTCAATGGATGAGACAGTGGGGATAGTTTGGGATTTAGCCCTCTGTCTGCTTCTGGCCCGACTGATAGTTGGGGCAGCCTTATGGAAAGGAATCAAATCATCAGGAAAGGTAAGTGATTGGTGATGAATAGAGTTAAAACTGTGACAAAGTATAGATTTCTGTAGCAATGAAACTAGAATTTATAAATCATTTGTGAAGTGGCTGGTTTATCTCCCAGGTTTATCTCCCAAGTGTCCTTTTGGGGAGTGGGAGAGCCATAATTCATCAACACTTCAGGCCTGAGGGAGATCTGAAGATCTATCTTCTGGGGGAAAGAACAGCAGCAAATCCCCCCAAACCCCTGCAATGTCTTCCTCATTCTAAGGGTTACAGTCACTGATACAGGGACTCTGGGGAATTTCCAATTGCTCTGGAAGGCTGTACAGAACTGGGCGAAGAGATTGGGTAGATTAGGGTCAGGGCTTTAGTTGAATGAAATGAGATTTGTCTGGACAATGTGATTGGGAAAGAAACCGGAGGAATAATCATTGGGTGAAAACAATGAAATGCTGGTAATGCTCAACAGCTCAGGTAGCAACTGTCAAGACAAACAGAGCTAATGTTTCACTTCCATGAACTTTCATCTAACCAAGAGAAACAAATAATAGTTTAAGAGATTTGGAGACAATAAGGGCTGCAGATGCTGGAAGCCAGAGTCTATAGGTATGAGGCTGGAAAAGCACAGCAGGTCAGACAGCATCCGAGGAGCAGGTAAGTAAATGTTTCAGGCCAAAACCCTTCGTCAGAACTGGGAAGGTGGAGTGGATCCCAGAAATAAATGGGTGGGGTGGAGCTGGGGGAAGGGTAGGAGAGATAGTCATAGCTGGATGCGGATAGGGGCTTATTTTGATTGGTCCATGGGATGGGTGAAATGGACAAAACCTGTCTATCTTTCTACACACCTATCCACTCTACTCTTCCCATGGAACAATCACAATAACCCCTTTACCTGCATCTACCTATCTCCATCTCTCCTACCCTTACCCCAGTCGCACCCCCCTCCCTCTATTTATTTCTGGGCTCCTCTCCCCTTCCCCAGTCCTGACGAAGGGTTTCAGCTCAAAGCATCGACTGAGCAGTTTGAGGGGTTTTTTAAGGCAATGGACGTGGGGAGCATGGGTCAGTGAACAAAAGGAAGGTTCTGTGTTAGGGTGGAGGGCAAGAAATTTTAACTTACAAAGGTCTCACCTTCATCTCTGTTGTATTGTTGGGTAGGTTCCAAACCAGAGAGGAAATGTAGCTTCAAGGCTGTTAGAAGATATTACAACATGTGACATTCCAGTATAAAGTTACCCACCTCATCTTCAAAAGGTATTAACGTTGGAGGAATATGTGGTAACAGCTTTGCAGCAGTTACTGTGGACAGAATCTGTTAGGAACATGAGGCACATGACCAATGGTGAGTTTTAAGGCAGAACCAGTTGAGAAATCTGACATGGTCTATCTCAACATTAGGAACAACTCACTGATCTTTTATGTATCTGCCAAGTGAGGGGAAAGAGTTGCGTCATTAATAAGGCATTAAACAAGCTGTAATTGCCCTTAATTGACGCAACTTACTCATGAATATTTAGTTTCCCGTCGTACTGAACAAGCCAAATAAGTAAGATGTCGAGAACTCTCGAGCTGGAAGTCAGCACAGGTACCTGGCAACTTCAGATTACTACTGGCATGAAGAATCTCCATGTTGCTCAGCATATTGATATTCTCTTCAGTGCAGACAAACATGATGGGTGAAAGTACAGAATGTATGTCTGCTGGACATTAGACCATTGAAGGGACAAAAACATGCACTTGCAAAGACCAGATACATTTAATTTACAATCATTTCTATTTGCCATCTGTGCACCAATAGTGAGGTGAATGCTGTCGCCCAGGCAGTAGGATTCGGGAACATGGGAAGCCCCCAAGAAACAGAATGTTATTGACTGCACACATGTGGCTCAGAGAGGGCCATATCACAATGCTGTGGAATTTATCAACAAGAAGGATCTCCATTCCATTAATGTTCAAGTGATGTCTGAGCACTCTTACCACTTCCTAGAGTTATCTGTCCGTTGCCTTAGTAGCTGCCTCCTTTCTTTTCCCAGTACATTGATGACTGTTTTAGTGTCACCTTTTGCTCTCACCATGAACTGAAAAACTTCATTGAGTTTGTTTCCACTTTATATCTTCCCATGCTGAATCTTATATTCCCTTTTCCGAACTCTGTGAGTTATGGAGACAGGCTAAATAATGTTCACTCAAAAGCAACAACTCTCACAGCTACCTTGACTCTGCTTCCTCACACCCTGCTTCTGTCTCTGTTACATTCACCTGATGTCGCAAACTTTTACACTGGCACTTCTGATATCTCTCCCTTTTCCTGAAAACATGGGTCCCCATTATGGCCACATCTTACTCCCTATTCTATTTTCTTTCAGTTCTATTGAAAGGTCAATGATCTGAAATGTTAACTCTGTTTCTATCGTTCTGCAGATATTAGCTGACTTGCTGAGTACCCCGAGTACTTTTATTTATATTTCAGATATCCAGCACTGGCAGTGTTTAGCTTGAGTAACTGTAAGCATATTTGTTATTCACTAGGCCAGCTTTTGTTGGTCATTAATAATTACCCTTGAGAAGGTGGTGGTGAGCTGTCTTCTTGAAATACTGCAGTTGAGTTGATGTAGGGACATCCTCAATATTGTTAGGGAGGGAGTTCCAGGAATTTGACCCAGTGACAATGAAGGAACAGTGATATATTTCCAAGTCAGGGTGTCAGTGGCTTGGAGGGAAAATTGCAAGTGGTGGTGTTCCCATGTATCTGCTGCCTTTGTCCTTCTAGTTGGTCGAGTTCATAGATTTGGAAAGTGCTGCCTATGGAATTTGATGAGTTGCTTCTGTACGTCTTGTCTCTGGTGTACACAGCTGCCACAATGCACAAGTGATACAGGAAATGAATATTTATGGTGGAGGATGTGGAAAAGGTTTGGTCCAAAGTTTTGAAAAGTTTAATGTCTCAGACAGTAGAAATAGCATCTCCCATCATGACGATATAAGAGATCATACAACACAGAGATATGTGAGAAGAAGCTACATTGCTTCAGCTGGATTAGCAAAATCTATGGAAAGCTGTATTTAAATCTTTAATATGTCACAGACTAGGGGTTTTATAAACCTACAGGAGGCTCAGGATCTGTCCTAAGTTCAAATAATTAACTTCATAACACCAATTGAGAGTCTTGCTTGGTCATGGATGGTGTAGGGGTTCATAAGTGTTGTGAGGCACATTTATCTAGGCAAGTATGGAATATTCAACCACACTGCTGACCTGTGCCTTATAGATGATGGTTAGACTTTGGAAAGACAGCAAATGAGGTGTTCACCACAGTTTCCCACTTCTGACTGGCTCTTGTAGCCACAATATTTATATGGCTAGTCCACTGAGGTTTTTAGTCAATGGTAACCCCAAGGATGTTGATAGTGATGCATTTAGATCTGGCATTATGACTGAATGCCGCAGGAATATGGCTTGATTCTCTCTTCTTGGAGATGGTCATTGCCTGGCACTTGTATACTGTAAATTTTGCTTAGCTCAAGCTTAAACATTACCCAGTCTTATTGAATATGAGCATTGACTGCTGCAGTATCTGCGGGGACGGGAATGGTATTGAACTTTATGCAAATATCAGCAAATGTCCCCACTTCTGACATTCTGATGAAGTAAAAGCAATTGATAAAGCAGCTAAACGTGGCTGAACCTAGGTCATGATCCTGACCAACTCCTATAACGATGTCCTGGGGCTGAGTTGCTCAGTTTCTAGTCACCACAACCACTTTCCTTTGTGCTTGGTCTTACTTCAGACAGTGGAAAGTTCTTTCCCCTCCATTCCCTACCCAGCTATCGGTTAACGTTGACTTCACTTTTGCTAGGACTCATTGCAGCCACACTTAGTCAAAGGCTGCTGTTCTGTCAAGGGCAGTTTCCCTCTCTCTCTCTCTCTCTCTCACTCTTTCACACACACACCTCACCTCTGGAGTTTGGTTCTGTTGACCATGCTTGGACCGAGGTTATAATAAGGTCAGAAGCTGAGTGAGCCTGAAGGAATCTGAATTGTACAGTGATGTGATTGATGAGTAAGGAACAGTTGATAGAACTGTTGACTATCCCTTCCATCACTTCACTGATGCCTGGGAATGTACTGATGGGGCATTACTTGGTCAGATTGGATTTGTTCTGCTTTTTGCAGATACAGCATACCCAGGCAATTTTCCACATTGTAATGGAATAGCTTATCTAGATCTGCAGTTCTGGTACATCGACAAATTCTGCTCAGTAATGATTGATTGCACATGTATATTCATGTTTTGATCCCAGAATAAATAAAAGATATCAACTTCAATTGATTATCTTCATTTTGTTATTTTTAATATTATGTGTAATAGTGTAGCACTTTTTAAATTGACTTGTAACAAGGTCTCACAAAGCACTGCCTCAAGATGCAAACCCTACATGAAAATGAGGCCACTGTGTATATCTCTATGTCAGTCTTCCTCTCCTGGTTGTCTTCTGCACCCTACAATACATTGATGACAATCCTGTTACTTTGCTATTTAGTTGGATGAAGTCTTTATTGCAAAGGGGGATGAAGTATAATAGTTGGTAAGTCTTGCTACAAAGATACAGCAGCTACTGTTTTGGTCTCCCTATTTAAGGGGCGTATTTGTTTTGGAGACAGTTGAGTCAAATCTCTCTCTGTTAATTCTTGAAATTAAAGGTTTATCTTGTTAATCAAAAGTTTGAGCCTATACCAACAGGAATTTAGGAGACCAAAAAATAGTCTTAAAAGATTCTGAATGGTCTTGACAGGCTTTTTCTCCTCATGGGAAAATCTAGGACGCGGAGCACAGTTTCAAAATAAGTTGTCTCCAAATAAGACAGAGATGAAGAAGAATCTTTTCCATCTGAGCATTTTTAATCTTTCAAATTCTGTTCCTCAGAAAGTGGTAAAGGTCGAATCATTGAATATATTCAAGGCAGAATTTGACAGATTTTTGATTTACAAGAGAATCAGAGGTTATGGAGAGGGGAAGTGTCAGGGTGATCAGGCAGGAAACTAAACTTATGTTTAACATCTCATCAGCAGAACCTTATTTGCGTGGTGGGGCAGGATTGAGGGGCCAAGTGGCCTAGTACTGCTCCTAGATGTTATTTTCTTCTGTTGTAGCAGTAATACAGGAAAATCTAACAAGTTTCTCTCCATGTTCAGGTGGTTTATTTCACTGTGACATTCCCTTACGTGGTTCTGGCCATACTCCTGATCCGAGGGGTTACCCTGGAGGGAGCGTCTAAAGGAATCGAATTCTACATCGGAAGCCAATCAGACTTTTCCAAACTGGCTGATGCTGAAGTAAATGCAGCAATATCAATAATTGAATCTCAATTGCATTTTTCATTGAATCGATTCATGCTTTCCTTTCTGTTTGCGTGAGACACTCAAATTAAAATCTGCGTCTTACTTTTGAGTCTTTAATTAAATGTGAGAAAACTAAATTTAATTATTGAAAAGTTTTAACTGAGCTTGTGATGAATTCAAAAGAGGTAGTTTGTGATCTATATCATCCTGCCATTAGCAGGACAAAGGGTCAGGCATTTGCTGTGATCGACTCGCGGACAGAACTTGATGAGGAATTGCAACAGGGAATGGGATGCAGTAGAATTTCTCCCTGATGCCGCCTCCTTTCTGAAACTTTGGAACTGATTTTGGTGTAAGAGTTTCCGGTGAAATGCCTCATTGACATACGAAGCAAATATTTACCCACATTTTGCTGTATCAGGGCAATAGGAAGGGCCCACTCTTGATGAGACTTGTCCTTATCCATTCCGTGTCAATGATATTTGGTACTGCAAGTATCTGAAGTGGGAGACGGAAATCAAACATTATCTACATCTGAAATCTGGAATCTACATCTGGAATGAACATTAGACAGTAATAGATTATATCCTTAACCAGTCAGATTATAGTATTTTGAACTTAACAATGCAAAGACCAAGGCAGAAAAGGAAAATGTAAGTTTGGGTGACTTCAGTGCTGTGATTCCATTCTTCCAGTAGGTAGTTTAAGTGCCAGAGATTTTGACTCGTAGCAAATAACACTTGCCACATCATTAAAAGGCTACTTGAATGTGATATTCCTTGAAATAAATCTCCAAGGTGATTCAGTCTACAGCATAAGGGCAGGAACTTTACTCCACCCAGTGAATGCAAACAGGCAGACTGGGAGATACTGTTTTTAAGAAGCTGACAGTGGACTGATGGATATTGGATAACAACAGTTAGAATTTTGTATTCAGTCCAAAAATACTGCACGGTTTGCGAACAGATAATGGCAAACACCATTAGTCTCTCCATCTTTCGGACAGCGATTGGATTTTGATTTCCATTTATATTATTTATCCACTTTTTACATAATCTAAATCCCACGCCTGTAGATTACAGTGTCGTTTTACTGGTTCCTATTGACATTAAAATGTTAACGTTGCTGAGATATTGCTCCAATTTAAAACTGAATCATTATTTGTGCTGAAAGCTGTTCTTTGCTGTTGCTTTCGATAAAAGCATGGAGTTAACGCTGCAAGTGAGTCAGTCACTGAAAACCATAGCTGGTGAAGAATATATCAGACATCCCAGAGGGAATTTGACAGCAAATGATAGATAGTAATGATAACCATCCTGCTTGATAGAGATACTGTTGACCAGAGGGAGCTACTTTGGTCAGTTTACTATGGATTAACTACATGAGTCTTCATCATTTTCAAGGTTAATCTCGTTTTCTGTTAAATAAGTTTGTGTTAAATTTCCCTCCATACACTAATTCTATTTTATGTTTCCCAGGTCTGGAAAGATGCTGCAACACAAATTTTCTTTTCTATCTCAGTGGGTTGGGGCAGTTTACTAACACTGTCATCCTACAACAAGTTCCACAACAACTGCTACAGAGATACCATCGTTGTCAGTGTTGTTGATTGTGCTACGAGTGTGTTTGCTGGGTTTGTCATCTTCTCCATCCTTGGACACATGGCTCATGTACAAGATAAGCCTGTTTCAGAGGTTGCACAGTCAGGTAAACTGGGACTGTCAAAAGTATGAAGGGTCAGACAGCTTTAATATCCTCTCAAACTGAATCGACCTGATATTGCAGCGATTCTAGTGTCCAGACACAATTACCAATACTCAGATCCAAACTGATGACCAGGCTCCGAAGTCCAACATAATACAATGGTTACAGAGATAGTAGGAACTGCCGATGCTGGAGAATCTGAGATAACAAGGTGTAGAGCTGGATGAACACAGCAGGCCAAGCAGCATCGGAGGAGCAGGAAAGCTGAAGTTTCGGGTCGAGACTCTTCTTCAGAAATGGGGGAGGGGAAGGGGATTCTGAAATAAATAGGGAGAGAAGGGGAGGCGGATAGAAGATGGATAAAGGAGAAGATAGGTGGAGAGGAGACAGACAGGTCAAAGAGGCGGGGTTTGGAGCCAGTAAAGGTGAGTGTAGGTGGGGAGTTAGGGAGGGGATAGGTTGGTCCAGGGAGGACGGACAGGTCAAGGAGGCGGGATGAGGTTAGTGGGTAGGGGATGGGGGTGGGGCTTGAGGTGGGAGGAAGAACAGGTTAGGGAGGCGGGGACAAGCCGGGCTGGTTTTGGGATGCAGTTGGGGGAGGGGAGATTTTGAAGCTTGTGAAATCCACATTGATACCCTTGGGGTGCAGTGTTCCCAAGTGAAATATGAGATGCTGTTCCTGCAACCTTCGCGTGGCATCATTGTGGCAATGAAGGAGGCCCAGGATGGACATGTCATCCAAGGAGTGGGAGGGGGAGTTGAAATGGATTGTGACTGGGAGGTGCAGTTGTTTATTGCGAACCGAGCGTAGGTGTTCCGCAAAGCGGTCCCCAAGCCTCCGCTTGGTTTCCCCAATGTACAGTAGGCCACAACGGGAACAGCAGATACAGTATACCACGTTAGCAGATGCGCAGGTGAACATCTGTTTGATGTGGAAGGTTTTCTTAGGGCCTGGAATGGGGGTGAGGGGGGAGGTGTAGGGGCAGCTGTAGCACTTCCTGCGGTTGCAGGGAAAATTGCCAGGTGTGGTGGGGCTGGAGGGGAGTATGGAGCAGACAAGGGAATCATGGAGAGAGTGGTCCCTCCGGAAATCAGATAAGGGTGGGGAGGGAAAAATGTCTTTGGTAGTGGGGTCAGATTGCAGATGGCTGAAGTCTCGGAGGTTGATGCGTTGGATTCGGAGGTTGGTGGGGTGGTACGTGAGCACGAGAGGATTCTGTTTTGGTTGTTATTGTGGGTAGGGGTTGTGAGGGATGAGTTGTGGGAAATGCAAGGGACACGGTCGAGGGCATTTTCGACCACAGTGGAGGGGAAGTTGCAGTCTCACCAACCTATCGGAGAGATTCCCTTTTGCTTTGAATGCAAACGCCACTCTGAACCCAGCGATCACAGCTTCTAAATGCTATAACTTCTTAATTAGAGTGATTAACATTACAAACATGTCATATAGCCAGTGATTTATATTGTAAACATCATTGAACTTTGGTGTCATGAACGATTTTGCAAACGTTAACTAGTATTGGCAATTGCAATAAATTAAATGGATTTGATGTCAATAACCAGTTGACAGCAACATTAATTGTATCATTTCAGGTTTTGGTTTGGTCTTCATTGCCTACCCAGAGGCCCTTGCACAGTTGCCGTGGGCACCATTATGGTCTGTTTTATTCTTCTTCATGCTGCTCACTCTGGGAGTTGACACTCAGTTTCCAGGTTTAGGTAAAAAATGGTGTTACATTGTTTAAATAATCTATTAACAGAATTATGTTGGTATTGGACAAAGAAGCACTGTCAGTGGTGTTAGTGGACAAATGCATAATATTTCTTTGTAGTAATTGTTTCCTCATTATCTGAAAGAAGAATGCATCTCTTTGCCTTAAATGATTAGCTATTGCATCAAAGTGAAATTCAGGGAAAAGTTACACCAACATCCAAACAATTTCACACTACAATTTGTTTTAAGCATGACAGTGGGAAGGAATCATAAAATATCAAAATGTGAGTTGAGAGTTGGAGTAAATGATGGAGGTGAGGTTCAGTGTTATCAGTGATTAATAAATATGGATGGAGATTGTGGAAAGTGTAGTGGTCAAGAAAATATTAAAAGAAAAAGACAAATCAATAGAACGTGTTTAAAAACCTTGTACCTGAATGCACGCAGCACTCAGAATAAAGTTGATGAGCTGATGGCACAACTACAGACAAATGGACACAACCTGGTGGGAATTACTGAACCGTGGTTATAGGAAAATCAGGATGGGGTGTTAAATGTCCAAGGGTACACAGTATTCCGAAAGGATAGCTAAGAAGGAGCAGGAGCAGGAGCTGGAGTTTCTTTTTTCTTTAAGGAAGACATCAAGACTGTATGAAGAAATGATATTGGCACTAGGAACCAAAATGTTGAATCAGTCTGGGTGGAAATAAAAAGCAAGAGTGGAAACCCTTTGGTAAGAGTAATTTACAGACCCTGAAACAGTACTTCCGAAGTAAGGCATTGTATAAACCAAGAAATATGAAAGCTTATGAGAAGGCTGCTCAGTGGTGGCTCAGTGGATAGCACTGCTGCCTCACAGCGCCAGAGCCCTGGGTTTGATTACACATTGGGCAACTGACTGTGTGGAGTTTGCACATCGTCCCCGTGTCTGTGTGGGTTTCCGTCAAGAGCTCTGGTTTCCTCCCATAGTCCAAAGATGTGCAGGTTAGTTGAATTGGCCATGCTAAATCGCCCCCCAGGGATGTGCAGGTTAGGTGCATTAGCCACGGGAAATGCAGGGTTACAGGGATAAGGTGGGGGTGGGGGGGAAACGAGTCTTCATGGGATGACTCTTCGAGGGTTGTATGGACTTGTTGGGCTAAATGGCCTGTTTCCACACTGTGGGGACTCTATGATGATATGAACAGTGATTTTGGGTAATTTAAAAATGCATATTGACTCGATTAATCAACTTCGCAAGGGTAGCCTCAAGGAAAGTTTCATAGAGTGTATGAGGAATTGCTTCTTAGAGCAACATGTCATGAAGCCAACCAGAGAACTGGCCACTGTGGAGGGGAAGTTGCAATCTCACCAACCTATCGGAGAGATTCCCTTTTGCTTTGAATGCAAACGCCACTCTGAACCCAGCGTTCACAGCTTCTAAATGCTATAACTTCTTAATTGAGAGTGATTAACATTATAAACATGTCATATAGCCAGTGATTTATATTGTAAACATCATTGAACTTTGGTGTCATGAACGATTTTGCAAACGTTAACTAGTATTGGCAATTGCAATAAATTAAATGGATTTGATGTCTAAGAAGCAATTCCTCGTACACGCTATGAAACTTTCCTTGAGGCTACCCTTGCGAAGTTGATTAATCGAGTCAATATGCATTTTTACGTTTGGTATTATGTAACGAGGAAGGATTGATAAATGGTTTTGTCGTTCAGGATCATCTTGGAAGGAATGATCACAACATCCTATAGTTTCAAATTCAGATTGAAAGAGTGAAGACAGCTTCACATACGAGAGTTTTAGTGTTGGGAAAACATAATTATATCAGCCTGAGGAAGGAATTGGCCCTAGGGGACTGGGCAAAAATGTTTAAAGGGCAGGAGAGTCGAAGAATAGTGGCAAATGCTTAGGGAAATACTAAATACCTCTCAATTAAAGTATATTCCTGAAAGGAAGAGGAAGTATAAAGAGGTGAAAAATCATCCATAGCTTGACATGGAACTCAAGGATAACAAAAAGGCAAAAATTAGGGCATAACATCCGCAAAAGTTAGTGGCACGCTGAAGGATCAAGAGAACATTAAACATCAGCAAAGGGTTATTAAAAACAAAATCAAAAGGACAAGATGAACTATGAAAGGAAACTAGCAAAAAGCATAAGCCCTTGTACCAAAAGCTTCTATAAGTATATAAAAAGGAAGAGAATAGTGGAAGTAAATGTTGGCCCCTTTAGAGGATGAAAATGGCAAGGTAATAATGGGAAACTCAGAAATGGCAGAGGCACCAAACCAATATTTTGTCTCTGTTTTCACAGCGGAAAATAATAATCGCTTCCCAAAGACTGCAGTTACAATAGAGGAACTTGGTGAAGTTACTACAACTAGGGAGGACTGATTAAGTAAACTGGTGGGATTAAAGGCAGATGGGTCCCCAGGGCCTGATGGCCTGCACTCTAGGGTGTTAAAGTATGCGGCCACAGAGATAGTGGATGCATTAGTTATGACATTACAAAATTCCATGGATTCTGGAAAGGTACCACTGGGTTGGAAACATACTAATGTGACACCCTTATTCAAAAAAGGAGATAGGCAATAAGTGGGAAAATATAGACCAGTTATTTTGACCTCTGTAGTGGGGAAATTGCTGGACTCAATCATAAAGGAGGTGATAACTGAGCACTTAGAAAACTAAAGCTCAATTCACCAGTGTCAGCACAGTTTCATGGAGGGCAAGTTGTGCTTGACAAACTTGCTGCAGTTCTTTGAGAATGTAACTGGCAAGGTTGGATAATGGGGATCCAGTGGATGTGGTATATCTAGACTTTCAGAAAGCATTTGACAAGGAGTCACATAAAAGACTGAGCCAGAAGGTTAGTTCCTAGGGGGTTGTGGGGTAGAGTTTTAGTTTGGATAGAGGCATGGCTGACTGACAGAAAGCAAAGGGTCAGGATAAATGGATCCTTCTTTGGATGGCGAACTGTAACTGGTGGGGTGCAGCAGGGTTCAGTTCTTGGACATCAACTATTTACAATCCATATAAATGATCAGCAAGCAAGAACAGAGTGTAACATAACAAAATTGGCAGCTGGCGAATGCGCCAGAATCTGGCAGATGGAGCTTAATGTGGATTGGTGTGACGCTACCTATATTGGCTGGAAAAATAAAAGGGCAAATTATTATTTAAATGAGAAGCAGATTCAACGTGTGTCAGGGATCTGGGTGTCCTCGTGCATGAATTACAAAAAGTGGGTATGCAGGTGCAACATATAATTAGAAGGCAAATGGAATCTTGACGTTTGTTGCAAAAAGGTTGGATTATAAGAGTAAAGGAGCATTGTTACAAATATATTAGGTGCTGGTGAGACCACATCTGGAATATTGTGTCCAGTTTTGATCTCCTTACTTGAGGAAGGATGTGGTAGCACTGGAGGTAGTTCAGAGGAGGTTCATGAGGTTGATTCCAAGGTTGGATATCTTGGGCTTGTACTCACTGGGGTTCAGAAGATTGGGTGAGGTGGGGGGTAGAATTTGATTAAGCTTTTTAAAATGTTAAAGGGGATTGATGAGGCGAACGTTGAACAGATTTGGGATAGTCTCAAACAAGAGGTCAGAGATAAAGGGCGAGAGGAGGTAGGTTCAAAACTGAGATGAGGAGAAACTACTTCTCTCAGAGGGTTGTGAATCTGTGGGACTCACTGCCCCAGAGAGCGGCGGAGGCAGATTCAATCAACAGATTCAAGAAAGAAATAGATATGTTTCTGATGATAAACGAAATAAAGGGCTACGGGAAAGATGGAGGAAAGTCAACTGAGACCAGGATAAGATCAGCCAGGATCATGTAAAATGGCGGAGCAGGTTTGAAGTGCTGAATTGTCTACTCCTGCTCCTAATTCCTATGTTCGATATCTATTGTGGTGGTTTTCATACTCCATGTTCATGTTCTATCTCCTTTCGTTGCTCTCATGCCTAGATTCTACCCTTTCACATTTATTTGAGACGGATATTGTTGCTCAAGGGAGGGGATTTTTATTCTCCTGCCTCACAGGGAGCAGGATGGTCAGCAAACTCAGTTGCTAATGTTGAAACTCACTCATGTTGAAAGACCCCACAAGATGACGATAATGATGACACTGTTTTCCTATCTATCAGAGTAACAGGAACACAACTGAGAAAAAGGAATGTTTCAGGCCTAGAGAAATGAATGGAGAGACCTGTTTCTCTGGACTCCCATGGCTTTGGTTTCTGCAGCGGTGTGTTTCCCTGTCATTATGCAAGTTATTAATTTATGATTTCATTTGACATTTTCTCTCTTCCATCAGAAACAAATATAACAGCCCTGCTGGACCAGTTCCCTACATTTCTCCGATCAAAACGCCTTCTTCTGACTGTTGGTGTTTGTTCATTATTTTATCTGCTCGGCCTTCCATGTGTGACTCAGGTAGGTTGTATTTCAGTAATTTAAGCTGTTTTCACACGTACTCGGTAACTCTTGAAAGGTGATAACATTCACAAGATGGAGCAATAATGAAGGACCACATGCTCTGGTCCTTTCTTTTTTGCCCTTGTTGAATGTTGTGCAGTGATCATGTTGTAGTGACATCTTTGCTGTGATTCTGAGTTCACTCTCACAGCCATTGCAATCACAGACTGGGAAACTGGGCCTTGGCTCTGTTCATTTGAAGAAATGGCATAAGATTGCACAGCCGACACGTTTGCTATAGAGTTTAGTTGTTACAGGGAAGCACAACTGATCCCCCTTCATAATGTGTGCTGTGCACCGAATGGGTCTATCACTGTTGGTGACATGTATTACATCATTGCTACTTGCTCATCAGCATGTTCCTTCTTAGAGTGATATTACCACATCCCATTTTCTCTTCAAGATCACAATAACATACATTAATGCAAATAAATGTATCTCAGGTTGGATGTGAAAACTATCCTTTCCTCCAAAATTAAGTCAGTCTGTAACAGAGTTTAAGAATTGAGCAATTTAGGACTTTAAGAGGCTGTATAATGTATCAATGATTTAACAATCCTCCCAGATCTCGTGATCATATATACTTCCTGTGATCTAGATTTATCATCCGGATGTTCTTGACTCATTGTTATTTTGGTGTCTTTTGTATTGTTAAAGGGAAGATTGTTTTCATGGTGGGGTTCCATAATTTCATTCCCTGAGTTTATCCCTTGTGGTGTTCTGTGCACAATTACAATGCTCAGTGTTATTATGTTGAATTATCTTCTATTCCTCCTTCTCAATTTTCCATTGGGTGTTGTGGCCTCTTGAGTTCAAGGTTCACTGCACTCCCTGAATACTTCTGTGGGTAACCATGTTCCCTGGATGGGATGTATGATTTGAACCTTTTACCATTCACACAAACTAGACAATTCCACACCCAGATGTTGACTGTGTGCTGCCTTCATTCTCCGTTGACTGTCAAGAAGTTTATCCCATAATTATGATGACTTTGCAAAGTTGTCTTGACTTGCTTCTGAATGTGATTGTTGTTGGTGATGGAAAGCCCATGTCAAGAGATATTTTTGTCAAGTGTGACATGGGAATATGGAGATGGTGTTTAGTTGCCCTGCATTTCATGACAGATGCCTTAATGGTGTGAACCATTTCATTTAGCAAGACTGTTGGGTCTGGGATAACTTGGTGAGGTTGTCATATAATTTAGGTCACATTGAGTATACATCAAGGACATGTCCCATGTCTATAAATGATCTACCAGTATGTTGTGGTCCAATTTGAAGATGTTTTCTCCAAGTACACGGAATGGAATGCACTTCATACTTATTGTGACTGCCATGGGTGTAGTTGAGATATCCTTCCAAAGTTTCATGGTTGGAAACTTGGAAAATTAGTCAGTGACTTGGAGAAAATTGTCACCATGAATGGGAAATAAATCTGTTGCAATTTTCAACCAAGAATAAAAAAATGTCTTGTGAGAGTAGAGAGGTTCTTTCTGTTGAAGTGGGTGCGACTTTGACATGTCTCGCACATCCTCATGGTCTTCTCAATATTACTGTTGATCCCTGATCAAAACACAGTGACCTATACAAGTTCCTTTTTCACTCTATGCTCGTATGCCCTTTGTATAATGTGGCAATATAGCTTGGTAAAAAGCTTCAGCTACAAGCATCTGTTTATGTTTGAAAGTCATGTCTCTTGACAGACTTCTAGTTCATCTCTGTATGGTCAAAACCCTTGGAGTGTATCTGGCACCTCTTGTATTCCATTAGATTAGACTTTGATAATAACTTTCCAAAATGCCTTTAGTAGTGGATCATTTGTTGTCTCTGTCCTTGAAGTGATTGCATTTCTGTTGACCAATACTCATCAAATTGCTATTGACTATATTTTCTAATGTAATGTTTTGTAAGTTCAGCAAAGCAGACAATCTTCTTTGGCTTTTGTCCACCTCTCGTTCTGCTTCAAGTGATTATTTTGGTGCCCACTTTGTAACAGATATTGTTATATATCCCTGACCTTTCACAAGGCCTTGTTTTAGTTTGAGTGGTACAATAGCCAATGATTTACTTCAAAGTATTTTCAATGGTTTGTTCCCACAATGAATCATTTACTAAACAGGTATGAAATCTTGTGATAGTGCATGTCAGAGTGAATGTTTTACGTTCTACGTTCAAATAATTAGATTGCTATTGCAATAGCATTTTGGATCCAAATGCAATTGATTTACCATTTTGCACCATGTATGCCCCTGACACTTTTTTGACAATGTCTGGGGTGTGGAGGTAGGCGAAGGCCTAAGGAAAAAGTGCTCAGGCCCTAAAATTATTGAACTCAATATTGAGTCCTGAACGCTGAGTTTCCTAAGTGGAAATAAGATGCTGTCCTTCAACTAACATTGAACCTTGCAGCAAGCCCAAGACAGAGCTGTTGGCCAGGCTTTCATTGCAGCCAACCCATTTTTACCCACTAATTGTCCCCATTAGCAGCTTTTCTTTCGCCCAGGCTCAACAATATTCAACCCTTTGTCTGCCCAGCAACTGTTTTCTCTTTCTCTGGGCTCTGTCTCCACCTGTTGTTCACTCCTTTCCCCCAACCCCTGTCTTCAGCATACATCCCGCCAGTGTTCTGAAGGACCTGAAATGTTGATTATGTTTTCTCCCCACAGATGCTGTCAGACCTGCTGAGTTTCTCCAGCACATTTTATTCTTGTTTCAGATTTCCAGCACCCACATTTTTTTTTTGCTTTTGGAATTTCCCAGGCGGCAGAACAGCTCATCCCTCTGCCCTTACCTTTCAAGTACATGTGCCTGTGAACACTCCCGCATGGTTGCATGTGGAATACCCTCTGCTCTCCACCAGCTCCAGCACCATCATCACTGTTAGTCCATCCACGTATTCTCTGAGTGAAATTATGCAGGAGACATGGAATTGCAGAAATTCATTCACATTTAACATGCAGTGAAAGCTTCCCTTCATTGATAAGCCCTCAGTTGAGCCCTTGTGCAATTGTAATCCTCTATTCCCATTTCAGTTGGGTGTATTTGCCTTGTGCAGGAATAAATCTTGAACCTTTCCCACTGTGCTGCACGTTCTCTATTAGCCCTTCATATGGGCCAGTTAAGACAAAGGTAGTGGTTGTTAATGTATCCTTTGATTTGTTCAACTCTACCCTCCCCCTCAACACTGTATATACTGTATATATATCCTTCCCCCCCCCCCCTCCCTTATCCTGCTTCCATTTCACTGAACTTCCCTCTGTTCTTCTTTAATATCCTCTTGTGAAGATCAGCTCTTCCACTATCTCCTGTGATATTGCCTGCTCATCTGCCACCACCACCAGCGCTGGAACCTTTTAGCTCAGTTGGCTGAACGGCTGGTTTACGATGCAGAATAACACCAACAACATGGGTTCAACTCCTGCACGGGCTAAGGTTAACAACAACTCCACAAACAACGTATAACGTGAATTAACAATATTAATAATCCAAACATTAACAAAGCATCAATTATGGGCAGCACGGTGGCTCAGCGGTTAGCACTGCTGCCTCACAGCGCCAGGGACCCGGGTTCAATTCCACCCTCGGGCGACTGAATGTGTGGAGTTCGCACATTCTCCCCGTGTCTGCGTGGGTTGCCTTTAGGGAACCCGGGTTCCTCACACAATCCATAGATGTGCAGGCTGGGTGGATTAGTCATGGGAAATGAAGGGTTACAGGGATAGGGTAGGGAGTGAGTCTGGGTAGGATGCTCTTCGGTAGGTCAGAATGAGTTGATGGTCTGAATGGCCTGTTTCTACACTGTAAGGATTTTAGAGGCTTGACAACTCATTCTGACCCAGTGATTGTATACCCATCTGGAGAGAGATGTGTTATTTTCAGTTGCTCCTGACTGATAACTCAGTTGCATCGATGTTGGGTGCTGCCACTCACCATCATGGCACAATCACGGTCATCAGCATTTTCTTCCTCACTGTCTGCAAATATGATTGGTCTGAGCTTGCTTCTGTTCGTTCGCAATGTAGTGCCAGGACCAGTAATGTCTTTATATAAGCTATAGTTATAGTCTTCACTATAGATGATGCAAGTATCAGAAAATGGAAGGGAGGGAGGAATTCAGGAAAAGTACAATCACCAAAAATGTGGGACTGAGTGAATGTTGGAGCTGAGGAGTGCCTGGACCCTGAAGGAATTCATCTAATAGTGCTTAAAGAAGTGCTTAGCGAGATAGTTGATGCATTGGTTTGAACTTACCAAACATCCCTTGGTTTTGGGAAAATCCAGTTGTGGTCATCCGGGTACAGGAAGAATATTATTAAGCTGGAGAGGATTCAGAAAAGATTTCCCAGCATGTTACTGGGAATGGAGGGTTTGAGTTATAAGGAGAGGCTGGATAGGCTGGGACTTTTTTCAATGCAGCATAGGAGGTTGAGGGGTGACCTTATGTAGGCTTATAAAATCTTGAGAGATATAGGTAAGGCGAATAGCAGGCGTCTTTTCCTGAGGTTGCGGATTTCAAGACTAGAAGGCGTACTTTTAAGGTGAGAGGAGAAAGATTTAAAAGAGATATGAGGAGCGATTTTTTTGCACAGAGAATGGTTCATACGTGGAATGAAGTGACGGCTGCAGATACAGGTACAACATTCAAAAGACATTTAAATAAGTACGTGAATAAGAAATGTTTGGAAGGATACATACCAAACGCTGGCAGCTGGGACTAGTTTAGTTTGGGATTATGGTCAGCATGGACTGGTTGGACCAAAGGGCCTGTTTCCCTGCTGCATGACTCTATAATTCTATGACTAGTTCAGAAAATGCAACACTTTTATTCAAAAAGGAAGAAATACAGAGCAGTTAGCTTAACTTCTGTTGTAAGTAAAATGTTAGCAGATATTACTAAAGAATTTGTAGCATGACACTTAGGTTTTGAAGTAGTCAGGTAGAGCCAGTATGGTTTTGTGCAGGGAAAACATGTTTCACCAATTTATTGCAATTATTTCGGGAGCTTTTGACAAAGGGGAATTGGTGGATGTAATGTTCTTAGATTTCCAGAGGCATTTGATAAGGTGCCACATTAAAGGTTATTGTAGAAAATAGAAGCTCATGCTGCAGGGGTTAACATATTGGTATGGATAGAAAATTGGCTGGCTGGCAGTAAGCAGATAGTCAGCACGATTCTCATGATGTAACAAGTGGTGTGCCTCAGGGTCAATTCTGGCATTTGAACGATTAATGATTTATATCAACGACCTGGATGAAGAGGTAGAGACACAGTTATCAAAGTTGCTGATGACATAAAATTGGAAAGTAACTTTTGAGGAACAAATAAGAGGGTTATAAAAAGATTGTTTAAGTAAATGAGCAAAGATGTGGCAAATGGAGTATAATGTAGGAAAATGTGGAGTGTTTCTACTTTAGCAGGAAGAATGAAAAAGAAACATCATATCTAAATAGTTAGAGACTGCAAAACTCTGAGATACAGAAGGATACGGTTGCCTTAGTGCTTAAGAAGCAAAAGTTTAGGATATAGATACAGCACATAATTGGATACAAAAGTATAGATGTTATACAGGACACTGATGAGACCATGTCTAGAGTACTGTGTGCAGTATTAGTTGTATTATTTAAAGAAGAATGCAAAGTAATTCATAACATCTGTGACCTTATTAAATGGTGGAGCAAGGCCTTCAGATAGAATGACCTACTCCTGCTCCATGTTTACTTATTCTCATGTTTGTATTGAATGGGAATGTAGTTGAGATACTGAGTGGGGAGAGAGATCATTGGTATTTTCACAAGCAGTTAAAACTGGAGACAGAGGGGTAAGATGAATTGTAAGGGTCATGATGTCTAAATCTAGAAAGAATTTGACCTAAGTGAGATCACATTTTGAATGCTGTGGGTGAATTCTGATCATTCAGTTACAATGGAGAAAAGAGAACAGCAATGTTAATGATGCCCAAACATAAATGAATGACAGAATATTGAGCATCGAGTTAGAATTGTGTTGGAACACTTCTGAAAATGAGTCATGCCAGACTCGGAATGGTAACTCAGTTTTTCTTTCTCCACAGATGCTGCCAGACCTGGCAAGTTTTTCCAACAATTCCTGTGTTTGTTTCAGATTTCCATCATCTGCAATATTTTGCTTTCTTTAGAATTGCGTTTTTTTATAAGCACCAGAATGTATATATTTTTCAAATCTCATAAAAATCTGACTTTGAATGTAAGAGTCCATAGTAATTTACCCATGTAACATTTTGGAATTTTCCATTTAATTTTAGGCTGGGATTTACTGGTTGAATTTTGTGGATCATTATGCCACACACTGGGCTCTCATTATAACAGCCCTCCTGCAACTCATTGGTCTCAGCTGGATCTATGGTCAGTGAATCTTGAAAAATACTGAATCAAAATAAATTAAATTAAGTCTTGTACTTTGTGGACCTTAAGGTTTCTTTAATAAAATCAAGTCAAATGAATTGGTTGTTGGATGTAGCTCTTTATATCAGAGGGTGATGAAAATTCAACTGCTCATCTTGACTATTAAAGGTATTTCCCTATTTGGTTGCAGAAGCCAAAATGGAACACACAGCAATTTTGTTTGCATCCTTCTCTCATGATCCACTTGATTTTGCTGAGTTTCAGCTTGGGGTCAATTTTACTGCAGTCATTTTCTTGTCAATTGCTGATACTTGTGTTACTACATAGATCCAAGACCAGATAGGCAGTTTATCTTTGCGCTGTTAGATGGTTTCAGAAACATGTGATGTACTAAAGTACGTGACTCACCTTCAGTATCAGTAATAATATTAGCAGCCAGCTTGCAGTTACTGTATGTTTGATCTATGTAATTAGGCAGCACACAGCCCAGATAGTGTGCAAGTTTTTAACAGCAATGTAAGTACTTAAGACAATAAGACCGTAAGATGGAGGAGTAGAAGTAGGCCATTCAGCCCTTTGAGTCTGCTCCATCATTCAAATGAGGTTATGGATGATTTGACCATTGTTAACCCCACTTTTCCTGCCTTTTCTCCACAACCTTTGATTTCTTTACTGGTTTAAAATCTGTTCATCTCAGCTTTGAATGGACTGAATGACCAGAGCCTCGACAGCCGTCTGTGTTAAAGAACTCCACAGATTCACTGCACTCTGATGGCAGAAATTCTTCCTCATCTCTGTCTTAAATGTGCAGCCTTTTGTTCTTAGGAGATAGCTTCTGGTCCTGGACTCTACCAGAAGCGAAACAGCCTCTCTGCATTTACTCGGTCGTGCACCTTAAGAATCTCATACTTGTCAAAAAAAGATCACCTCTTATTCCTTTAAATTCCAAAGACTTCAAGACCAAACTACTCGGCCTCTCCTCGTCAGAAAATCTCTCCATATCTGAGATCGATCAAGTGAACATTCTTTGGACTGCCTCCAAAGCCAGTACATTTTTCTTTAGGGAGAAGTTGATGGCCTAGCGACAATATTGCTAGAATGTTAACTGAAGTATTGCTCCTGCCATGGCAGAACTTGAATCATAGAATCCCTACAATGTTGAAGCAGGCCATTCAGCCCATCAAGTCCACACCAACCCTCTGAAGAGCATCCCATCCCCTTACCCAAGCCCTGTAACCCTACATTTCCCAAGGCTAATCCAACACAATCCTGGACACTATGGGCAATTTAGCATGACTTATCCACCTAACCTACACATCTTTCGACCATGTGAGCAAACCAGAGCACCCAGAAAAAATCCACAAAGACATGGGACGAACGTGCAGACTCTGTGCAGACAGGTACCCAAGGCTGGAATCGAACCCGGGTCCCTGGCGCTATGAGGCAGCAGTGCTAACCACTGAGTCACTGGACTGCCCCAAGTTATTGTATTCAATAAAAATTGCAATTATTTGTCCAATGATGACCATGAATCCATTGTCAACTATCGAAAAATCCCATCTGGTTCACTAATGTCCATTATGGAAAGAAACTGCCTACATGCAACTCTGGAGCCATAGCAATGTAATTGACTCTTAGCTGCTCTCTGGGATAGGAATAAATGCTGCCTAGTTAGCGAGGCCCTTATCTGGTGAATGAGTAAAAACATTATACATAGGAGGACAAAACTGTTCATAATATTCCAGCCGTGGTATTATTTGTGTCTTGATTAGTTTTAAAAAGACTTACGTATTTTTATATTGTTTGCTTTGAAATAAAGACCAACAGACAATTTACCTTCCCTCTTACCCTTTGAATTTGAAGGCTAGCTTTTTCAGAATTATGCACAAAGACCCCAAATCGTTCAGTGCTGCAACTTTCCGCAGTCTTTCCAATTAAATAATAGTCAGCTCCTCTATTCCTCCTGCCGTTATATTCTGTCTACCAAGTTTTAGCTCACTCACCACTTGCCCTCCCACCTATTTTTGTGGATCTGGAAACCTGTCAAATATGTATTTGCTTCTGTCATCCAAGTCATGGCTATATATTGTCAATAATTGTGGGCCGCCCAGCACTAATCACTGTGACACACCACCAGTTACAGGTTGGCATCCTGAAAATGCCTGCATCTTGGGTGGCACAGTGGCTCAGTGGTTAGCACTCCTGCATCACAGCACCAGGGACACGAGTTTGGTTCCTGCGCTTGGGCGACTGTCTGTGTGGAGTTTGCATGTTGTCTCTGTGACTGCGTGGGTTTCCCTCCCATAGTCCAAGCATGTGAAGGTTAGCTGGATTAACCATGGGAAATGCAGGGTTACAGGGATAGGGTGTGAGGACTGGGCCTGGGTGGGATTCTCTTCGGAAGGTCGGTGCAGACTCGATGGGCTGAATAGCCACTTGCTGCAAGGAAAGAATTCTACGATTATTCACACTCCCTAGTCCGAATTATATGTTTTACTCTGCTTAGTCCAAATTTCATTGGTATTTTTGGATGGCTTTCTGCCAAGAAGTCTAATGAGTTTTCCTGCCGCAACTTATCAAATTCAACTCATTAACTACCTAAATCACATTCATTTCCAGCTCTTTACTGACATTTCCAGCTCAGTCCTTTCTTTCGCTGTCAGTGTCTCTTGGGGACCTGATCTAAAATCTGACTAAGTTCCTAGTAGATAATTTCTAAATCACTGCCCTCATCCACACACTTGGCCACCAGTTCATTAAGAATTGAATCAGGTTGGTCAGACATGGCCTCCCCTTAACTAACACTAATGATTGTTCTTGATTAAGCCTTGCCTCCCCACATGTAGGTTAATGTGTTCCTCAGAATTGTTTCCAATCGTTCCCCACCACCAAGGTTAGATAGACTGGCCTATAATTTGCTTGTTTAACCCTTCTTGAATCATGGTACCAAACTGGCTGTCCTAGAGTTCTCTGGGACCTCTCCTGCAACCAGTGAAGAAGTGAAAATATTTGCAAGCATCCTGAATTTATCCCTTACGTCACACAACAACTTGGGATACATTCATCTAGCCCTGGAGAATTATGTACTTTTAAGCTTGCCAGATCACACGCAACCTCCTCGCTAATTTCATTAATTATATCAGGCCTTCTCCTTGATTTCTGATTCATTTCAGCAGTTTTCAAAATTCTTTAGTATCACAGGCACATGGGATTGTACCTTGCTTTATTAATAAAGACACAAAGCTTCTAGTCGGCTCTGACAAATAGTCACTTAATACTTAGAACAAAGATTCTACTCTGCAAGCTTTTAATAAGTTGATAATGGGAGGATAACCAGAGACCAATCAGATCTCCTTCCTATGGCTTTGGCAGTCACAATCCTTCAGACAGAATCACCGTTTGAAACTTTGGTTTCTCTTTCTGTTTCTTTTTCAACATTCTCTTGGTCAGACTGCTTGACACTGGTCTTACTGTGTTTGGCCCTTGTTAACATTCAAACATCTGCCATTTGTTTGAGCATAAAGCATCTCTGGAACTGAAACATCTAGAGTGCTCTTTGAACAAGAATTAACCTGCAATTATCTTCCAGGACTGGCCTCATAAACAAATATCACTTTGTTTGGTCTCTTTCTCAAAAAAAAACATACTGCCGCTCATATTCCAAAGGTCACCATCAGCTCTCAATTCACTGCTCCAAACCAAAAATGAGAAAAATAAAGAGAAATAATAAGGGTCCTGACACAATGGTTATCCCAGAATTCACTGATGTCCCTTGTGGCCATGACATTTTTAAAAGCCCATTATGTACCTAGACAAGCGATTGTCACTTATATTGATCTGAGACATAGCAGACAGGGAGAATGAGTGTCCTGCTTTGTGGGTAGGGATCTATGGTGTGGTGCTGAGGTGGGATTTTTTTTTTCACCCCAGGACCATCAGAAGAGGCCACAATATGCCAGCCTGTTCCAAGATTACCACCCGGCTCAGTGCAGTCTCAGTCATTTGGAGAAATACCCAGCAGTGAAAGAAGAAAGTCAATGATCTCCTCCACTTTGCCAGCCCAAGTGCGACCATATTTTCTCTTATACCTCACGCAAACTGTCACTCTGCTGCTGTACCACTCTCTCACTATTGCCTGAAATCTCTCCCCCTCTCACTGTCACCTGTCCAATCCTCTGCACTGCCTGTTCACTCACTCAGGACACCTCCCACCTGCACCAACAGTAACAATTGAGACATCTTCCTTCATTTCCATTAATACCTGCCTCTGTCTCATTCCAGGAGGAAAACAGCCCTCAGTAGAGCAGAAAGACTCAAGCCACATGATGGGCTGCCCTACATTCAGTTCCTGACCCTTTATGTGGATAAAATCCTGACGTTGACCACCCTGAGCAGCTGACTGCCTAAGTTCAAAGCCATGGTGCTGGCAACAGAGATTGCCTATGACTTATTGTACCATCACCTCCTGAGTAATGTATATTCCCTGTGGTTTGACAGAGTCTTGCTGACAACCACAACAAGATTCCTTCCTTTGTGTCTGCACTAAATGGCAAGGCATGACATAGGTAATATCCCCGGCTGAGGTAGCAAAGCACACAAAGGCAAAGCACGGCAGAGATATTATGAGCGTCCAGGTCAACTCAGAATGAGTGAGCACGATGACAGCAAGTGAGTAGCCTGGAGATGTAGCCTGAGCCATTCCATGAGCTGGGTTCATGTCCCTGAGTGTCCTGGTTGCAGCATTACGCTGATAGGTACTGGGGCAGCCCGAGGTGCAGCATTGAAGTACAGAAGTGTTCTGAGATGGCCCATCAGGGCCTTAGAAGCTGGTACATATCACATCCAATATCTGTAGTTGTGGGGTGCACGTTGCTGGTGATCTCTGAGTGTTCCAGAGATAGTAGGAACTGCAGATGCTGGAGAATCTGAGATAACAAGGTGTAGAGCTGGATGAACACAGCAGGCCAAGCAGCATCAGAGGAGCAGGAAGGCTGACGTTTCGGGCCTA